TAATATGTGAAGAGTAATTTTTGTGCTCCAGCTCCAGTATTAGGGTCATTAGTGAATGATTTTGGATACAGAAAGGGCAGCATCTCATTATGAGAATTGGAATTTCTAATCATGGGAAGCAACTGTGAAGTAGAGGCAAGGACATCAAAAACATTTCCTGTAACTATCATTTTATTGAGGGTCGTTCTTGCCCTATTGAACAAATGGGCATTTGAGAAAGTGCAACTTCTCTGTAATCTCAAGAAGGAGCAGTGTGGTCTGGTGAATCAAATCTTGGTTCTATTTGTTTTTAGGCCTTAAACAAGATACAGTATCAGTTTTTCACGTGGAAAAACAAAAATGAAAGCTTATCCTGATCATCTGTAAGATTTCTTCTCAACTACAAAATCAGATCCAATGACTTTGTTAAGTGAATCTGTGCCAATGATTTATTTGAAGGATGGAACAAACGATGTCAGATAAGCTTAAGCAAAGACTGTAGACATTAACACACCTTGGAGTATAGCTACCATCTCTGAAGGATTCTGGGACAAGAGAGAAGTGGTCTGGACTTCTTAGCTAGAGCCATACTAGGTTTATCCTTATGTACTCCTGAACTTTTAGCCTGCTATAATCTGCTCACGTCTGGATATCTGCAGTCTTGACATTCTACCACCTCCTGCTCAAGACTTTTTTTTTTTTTTGGAGACAGTCTCACCTGGTTGCCCTTGGTAGAATGCTGTGGCGTCATAGCTCACAGCAACCTCAAACTTGGTAGAATGTTGTGGTGTCATAGTTTACAGCAACTTCAAACTCTTGGGTTTAAGCAATACTCTTGCCTCAGCCTCCCGAGTAGCTGGGACTACAGGTGCCTGCCACAGTCCCCACCTATTTTTAGGGACAGGGGTCTCACTGTTGCCCAGGCTGGTCTCAAACCTGTTAGGTCAGGCAATCTACCCGCCTTGGCCTCCCAGAGTTCTAGGGTTACAGGCGTGAGCCATCATACCTGGCCTGCTCAACTTTTAACTTAACTAAAAGTAAATAAATTTTTGTGCTCTTCTTTCCCTTCACTTTTGTTTCATAAAATGTTACTCTCCACCATGGCTGCCAACAACCCAATTTCAACACCATTCTCTTAATCTAATTGATGCTATTACAAATTCCTAGTTCTTAAGGAACTGAGAAGTTACTGTTGGGGAGTGGTCAACATGATTATCCTGAGAACCCAATAAGAGTTTTACAAAATGAGGATCTGCCAGAGAATACCCGGTGCACTTGCAAATGTGCCCCTCCCCCATTCTTGAGCCACCAATTCCAGTATGAATAGAAGTCAGATATCAGAAGCCATTTACCAATCAAAACAACAGTTCAGGCTCAGCGCCTATAGCTAGCTCAGCAGTTAGAGCACCAGCCACATACACCAAGGTGGGTAGGTTCCAACCCAGCCCGGGCCTGCTAAACAACAACAACAAAAGAGCCCAGTGGGCAATGTGGCAGGCGCCTGTAGTCCCAGCTACTTGGGAGGCTGAGGCAAGAGAATCGCTTAAGCCCACGAGTTGGAGGTTGCTGTGAGCTGTGATGCCAAAGCACTCCACGGAGGGCAATATAGTAAAACTCTGTCTCAGAAAAAAAACAACAGTTCAGGCACCTGCGGGTTTTCTTCTTCATTGTACCTTTATTGCCTTTTTCCTAGTCTCTTTTCCCCATCATTATTCTGTTAATTACAATACTTTATATTTATTTTTTTTTTAGGGACAGAATCTCACCTTATCACCCTTGGAAGAGTGCCATGGTGGCACACCTCACAGCAACCTCCAACTCTTGGGCTTAGGTGATTCTCTTGCCTCAGCCTCCCAAGTAGCTGGGACTACAGGCGCCTGACACAACACCCGGCTATTTTTGTTGCAGTTTGGCCGGGGCAGAGTTTGAACCCACCACCATCGGTATATGGGGCCAGCGCCCTACTCACTGAGCCACAGGCACTGCCTCCAATTACAAGACTTTTAAGGCCAGTCACCTGGGTTGGGGGTGCAATGGTTCACACCTATAATAGCACTTTGGGAGGCCAAGATGAGTGGATCACCTGAGCTCATGAGTTTGAGACCAGCCTGAGCCAGAGTGAGACCTCAGTTTCTAAAAATATCTGGGCCTTGTGGTGGGGGCCTGTAGCTACTTGGGAGCTGAGGCAAGAAAATCACTTGAGCCCAAGAGTTGGAGGTTGTTGTGAGCTAGGGCACTCTGCTGGGCAAGAAAGTGAGACTCTGTCTCAAAAAAAAAAAAGAAAGAAGACAGTCATTCAGCCCTATATGAGGACAAATATAATCCCTGATAGTAACAATTTTTTTTTTAATGGGAGACATGCCTTTTTTGACACTTCTGGTCATTATGAAGCCATTTTACGTCCTGGAAAGTTTTAAATTTCCCAAATGATTCCAATATTTGTCTTCTGGTCCCCAAACCACACTCTGCCAGTTTTATCTCCTATTACTCAACCCCCTCCACACCAACTCCCCCCACCAAAAACAAAAAACTTACCTCTGTTCCCTAACACCCTCAGTCCTTTGCTCTTGGTATTTCTTACTACATAAAGGGCTTAACACTTTCTCCGTCAGCAAATTCTAATAGATCTTTAAAACACGGTTCAAATACCAACCCTTCTACAAAGCCTTCCCTGACTTTCCCAACATATGAATGGAATATCAGTAAGAAAGAGAAGAAATTATGTGGCTGGACACTGGATACCGCAAAGGCTGAGAGGTGCAGCAGCAGATTTACCCATGGGGAAATGAACACTGAGGACGCTGAGGGAAGAGGTTGGAAGCACTTTCCCTACTCCCCAATTCTGCCCCTTTCAAGTCAGCTGTCAAGCATACTTGACGAAACCACGATGCTCTGGGCCTCAGTTTCCCTCTCAATGGCCTTACAATCTGCTTTCTCCACATCTTCTCAAACTTATCCGCTCCAAAAACACACACCATTCTTCCTCGTGGGTACTCCAGAGTCACCAAGAAGCCAGGAGACTGCCTATACCTCTCCTAATCTTTCTCAACGTGCCCAAGGAAAAAGGCCCGAGCTGGTGCGGTGCATCAGGACTTGAGCCGCGGTCCCTGGAAATCCCTGCTGGCAGGACGCCCGGGACATTTACTTGGGGCGGACCTTCCTCGAAGTCATCTGGGAACAGCTATAGTCCAGAGCACCACACGAAAATTTGACAGAGGCCCAGTCCCGCCAAGCCTTTACGGTTTCCGGACCCCGAACCCCTGGGTCACTTTGTGTCTGATTTCTCCCCGCCAGAATCTCTAGAGGGGGAGGCGGGGACCTTGCCTTCCTCTCAGTTCATGTGACATCTCAGGCGCCCCCTCCTGCCTACACTCACCTCTTGCTGAGGGGCCGGACTCTTACGGCTACTCGCACGTTCGCCATCCCTTGGCCACAACCCTAGTCCGACAGATCATCCCAGTCGCTACATCCCGGCCTCAGCCCCGCCCGCCCCACGCGTCTCTGGGGACACCCCCGCCGGAGCGCTTGCCACAGCCCAAGCGGGGCGGGGCATCCCCAACCCAGAGTCTGGAGGGCGAGAGGCCCCGCCCCGCCCCACCTTGCTCCACCCACGCACACCGCCAGGAACGCCTCTGCCCAAGTACCCTCCACAGCCCTAGAGGGGCGGTGCAGGCAGAGCCTTGGCCAATCCTGAGCACAGTGGGCGGGGGAGGACGCCCGGCCCCACCCTATCCACTCCACCCTGTTCGCCTCCCGGGACGCCATTGCCCATGCGCACACTCTAGAGGGTGCCTTGCAGAGCTTCAGCCAATCCTGGGTCGTGCGCTTGCTAGGGCACCGCCTCGAGCTGTAGTTCCTGACTTCGCGTACTGGAAGTAGGTTTTGTTCTTGAACTCGACGTCTGGGCAATGTAGAGTCAAGTAAAGCCATTTTGGTCAACATCCGAAGGGTTGCTAATTTTTTCTTTTTTAGAGAGGAAATCTCTCTGTCGCCTAGGTTGGAGTCCAGTGGCTCCATCCATACCTCACTGCAGCTTCCAACTCCTGGGATCAAGCAGTCCCTCCCGCCTGAGGTTTCCCAGAAGCTAGGACTAAAGGTGCGCGCCACCACGCCTTTGTAGCATGCTAAATATTTTTATTTGCTGCTGGCCTGAGCTGTCAGTTTTGTAGTTCAATTTTAAACCGGGGGCGGTGGTGCGAAGGTGGCATGCTCCTGTAGTCCCAGCCACTCGGGAGGCTGAAGCAGGAGCGTCTCTTGAGCCTGGAATTAGAGGCTACAGTGCGCTGTCATCTAGCCAGGGATACACAGCCAGACCCTGTCTCTATAAATAAATAAGTACATAAATGAATGAATAAAAATTAAATTAAGAATTAGTGTTAGGAGTAAACAGGCAACACTGATTAACACCAGTGTTTTGCGGTTTCGATCATAGATCATTTGGAACATGAAGAGGAATTCAGAGCATTTATTGGCAAGCTTCTCTCGATTGTGCTATAATCTCATGGCCACCCTGTCAGTGTTTGTGGTAGGGGAAGGATGCTTGCTGTCGGATCGGAATTGAATCAAGCATTGATCTAAGGCGCTGAGGGTACAGTGTCAAACAAAACAAAGTCCCTGACTTCTTGAAAATTACAATCTACGGAGGTGGGGAGAGATAAATAAGATGTATGTCACATATGAAAAGTGTAATTTTAAAAAACGGTCAAGTGTATTTAGTAGAGATAGGGGGAGTCTATGTTGCTCAGGCTGATCTTGAACTACTGGCCTCCAGAGAACCTCCCACTTGGGCCTCCCAAAGTGCTAGGATTACAGGCATGAGCAACTGCACTAAGCAAAGGACTCCCTTTTTGACATAAACACAAAACTATTACCCAAGAACATTCGTTCTTTAAAACCATCAAATAAGGTCAGGCGGGGTGGCACATGCCTGTAATCTGAACACTGCAAGGTTGAGGAGGTGGGTTGCTTGGGCTTGAATCTGGCCCCAGCCAAACTGCAACAAAAAAAGAGCTGGGCATTGTGGCGGGTGCCTGTAGTCCCAGCTAGTTGGGAGGCTGACGCAAGAGAATCGCTTGAGCCCGAGTTTTAAGGTTGCTATGAGGTATGACGCCAGGGCACACTACCAAGGATGACAAAGTGAGATTCTGTCTCAAAAAACAAAACAAAACGAAACAAAAAAACCCCACCAAACTTTATCTGGATATTGACTCAGCTTTTTTTTGAGGCAGAATCTCACTTTGCTGCCCCTGGTAGAGTGCAGTGCCATGGTGCTACAGCTCACAGCAACCTCAAAACTCCTCAGCAACCTTGCTCAAGAGATCCTCTTACCTCAGCCTCCC